GAAAAAATACCATAAACTAAAAAAAAATCTGTGACAGGGTCACTGATCTTTTTCTTGAAAAGGAACGGAGGGTAGAATTCATAACCCACACATTTTATAGTGCTTCCTCTCCTTGAAAGACCAGCATCTGCCACCGATTGAAATGAAATATAAACGTGTGTCTTGTTTGTCCAGACTACTAAATGAATTTATATGAACTTTAGTTCAGGATGACAGACATTATGAGCCACACTCCACACCAGCAGACACTAACATTAAGTTTAGTAATTATCTGTATTGTATTTCATTAATCATAGCATTTTACTACAGTTTATAAAGTGTAAAAAACACTCAGGATTTGAACTCAGTTCTCCCACATGTGATCAATGTTCCACATCCATCACTCCAACATGGTGATCCTGATGTCTCCAACTGTTATTTATCTGGAAACAAATACTTTGTGTTTTTTCTACATTTTGATACCTAACTAAAATATTAAACAGAAATATACTTTAGAAAGACTGATAGAAAGACCACCACAAAATATTTTAAAAGAAAGAGTAAAATGAAAACACTTGTGTAAGAGGGAGTGAAGTTAAAAAGGAAGAGGGGTTCAAATATAATTTTTATTTAAAAAGGAGATAKTTTTATCTGAGATGGACTTTAATCTGTTCCTCTTCTTTGCTGCTACCTCTCCGGCTGTGAAGACTCTTTCATGTGGCACCTCCTCTAAAAAACCACAGCTTTCACCTGAATCAGGTCATTTTTCTGAAGTCTTGAGTTGAAACAGTTCAACGCTGATGTGACGTCACGAGGCCTCCTTCAGAGTAGTCACGTGATCATGGACTCGCAAYCGAATCACGGTCTCGCGATACTTCTTCTTTGTTGTGGTAACCAGAGCTCTGGTGGTAACTAGCCGAGTCGAACGGAGCTAATATCTAATCCATATGTTCACCGAGGTGAAGAAAGTGGAGATAGTGGGTCAGACAGACTGGATGAATCTGTGGAGGAAACATTTCTAAGAAGAACTGGAGCCTTGGAGAGGAAATGAGCGCAGGTTTGTATTTTTTTATTCGCCCTACAGCGATGCTAAGCTAGCTGTAGCTGCTGTAGCTGCTGTAGCCAACGGAGTTAGCAATAACCCGTGAGGTGAATATGACCATCTATTTATAGAACTGGATCAGACATCAGAATCTGCTTTATTGTCATTCACACACAACATCAATGATGCAATGCAGAACGAAATTGCAGTTTATTACATCCATTCGGAATAACAAACATGGGGGAACGAATCGCCTGTGTAAGAGTGCCTTCATTCGATCCAGTTCTATGGCTGTGACTCAATTCATGGGCTGGGCCATGTCGGCCACGTCCTCGCTGGGCCGGGTAGGCTGCTCAAAACTGCTGTGAAATGAGACGGTCTACCCTTCAGCTGACGTCGGCTTCACCTGGGTTTGCGTGACCATCCGCTACCCTGTAGTGAT